GATCCTTGCGGGGTCCTATAAGGATCCATCTTAGCCCCTTTTGACACCGACTTTACTCCAAACCCCTCCTTCTTTCAATCAATTACACCTTACCCTTTCTTTCATATATATATATATATATATAATTTTATTTCTTAATTTTACTTATTTTTTACTTTAGTGACGTGGAAGACTGTATGATTAGTTGAAGTACAGGTATATATATATATGACTTTGTGTGATATTATTAATTATTAACATGTCATAACCGCAAATAGTTTAGGCTGCTCAGCAATGGAATTAATTTATTTAAAATAAAAATATAGAAAAAGTTGTCTTTTTTTTAAATAAAAAAATACTTTAGACAAGAAAAAAAAAATGAAAATCTATTTATTTTATTAAAACACATATTTTAAAAAAATTAAACAAATGGATCTTTTACTATCTTCATCTTCAACTCTTAAGACTAAACTAGTGGAACTTGTTGACTATCCTTTGGATGTAAATCTAACAATGGGACTATAGTTTAGCGGGAAAAACTACAATAATCAACATAAGTTAGTTAATTAGCCAAGGATTGCACTCATATTTCACAAAAACATTAATATGAATTTTCTAAATAACTTAAATGTAATGGATAATAATGTAACTGATGGAGGATAATCGTAGGTAGGCATGGTAACGGGGTGAGTCGAGTTCATGTTTCATGATATTCGTCCTCATTCCTATGGTTTAAACCCATCCATGTCCCCGTCTTTATTCTTGTACCCGTCGGGTATATAATTTTTGTTTCATCCTCGTTTTTGTCGAATATTAGGTATACCTATATTCGTACCCATAAAAAATTAATTATTTTTAGCTTATCTTTCTATTATATTATAATTATAATTGAGTTATTTGTCTATCTTATATTTTGATCAAGAAAATTCTTAATAATTAGACAACCACAAATGTTTTACATCATAATAAACAATCATACATAATTAAATATTAAAATTCTTTAAAAAAATCAAATCTGGGACAGGTATTAAACTGAGGATGGGACGGGTATACTTATCCGTCCCCGATTTAATATTTTGGGTTTTACCTTTACTTCGTACCTGATCAAACTAGATATTCTCCATCAAAATCGGAACGAGTTTAGGTATTACATACTAATACAGATTTATTTGTCATCCCTAACCATAAGTATACAGTTCTCGTTAAGTAATAAAATATAAAATCTACAAAATTTATAGATGACAACCAATTTATCGTGACAAATAAAATAAATGAGAGAAATTATTAGGAAGAGAATGATCAAAATAAAATAAAGGATAAAAAGTAAAAGATTAAATTACACCTTTAATTCCTTTATTTTGATCGATCCATAATTTTAATCCTTTAATTTTAAAATAAAAATATTTAATCATTTCA